TTAGAATAAATTCTAAAGCCCAAATAATTTGTGAGAATAAACATACAGAGCTGAGTAAAACAGTAATTCGTGTTCATGCCGTGCTGCCAAGGGACTTCCTGCCATTCAATTTTTTCCATAATTCGATTTATTTTAGCATGTCCTCTTCAGCTCATCCATGCAGGAACCACACAGGTTTTGTAACACTTGTTTTCCTGTCCCATCTCCCTAGCAAATAGCTAGGATTTTCAACTTCCAATGAAATTTAGTCTCTACTTACCTCTCCTGAAATGTGTAGTTTAGCCTTTTCCCGACCCAAAATTAATCATCCTCTGCCAGAAGGGGAATATGTATTGGTATGTTTAAACCTGGATTTCTGGTTAAAAGCGCTGATGTCTGTTGTTCAAAATGTTCTTCCTCCTAGTGCTAAGCTTCTCTTCATCACTTTTAAAAGGGCTATTGAGCATGAGCACAGTTTTAAAAGAGTGATGTTGTTCAGCGTTTAAAATAAAATATTAGGACGGATATATTTTTGAGCAGCAATTTACGCCTTAATAAAACACTGGGATATTGAAGTTCTGAATAAACTGTAAATGATGGAACCCTCTACCCATGGGATGTGGACAATATAAAAATATATCAAGATTTGGTAGCTTTTGGATCAATAGATAATCTCTCCACCTGTCTCCTGGAGGCTGAATTGCTGGAAACAGTAGTGAAAGTGTCTTGGACATGCAGCCCAGAATGTGCTGGGAGCCTGAGCTGTTCCAGATATTTTGGCTTATATATCTAACAGAGGAATGTGGGAAAACACTGCTCCCAAAACTTCTTATGTAGTTTCAGTCCACTATTATTATTAATCATATTATTATGGTTAAATTGAAGCACTGAGCTTCTAAATGATGCGTTTCGGAGGAAGGACAACAACACCCTCTGACATCACTCCTGTGGTTGTCACACATGGGTTTTGTCCGTGAGGTTCTGTTCCAGGCCTGCAGTTGCTGCACTTCTTGTGTATTCCTTGGCAGTCCCTCCCCTTCTTTTATAGGTCACTGCTGTCAGCCTTGTTCACCTGGCATTGATTATAATTATTAATTTTTTAATGACATGCTCCAAATTGTGGGTTTGCATCTCACACAACTCTGAGGTGACCCTAACTTTTCAACATAAGGACATTCATTACAGTAGCATCTGTCTTTTGAATAATACTTTAGGAAGTAGCAATTTTAGCTCTTTCGTGTGCTGAAATTTAAACTCTGTGATTTCCACATTGGTGGGATCTGGAACTATTCAGAACTATCAACACAGTTCCAATCTGGAGCATTTTCTTCCAAGGTTGACTGTATCTCATCCAAAAGGCACCGAGTCTCTGGGCTGATTGGCCTGGCTGTGCTTGCCTTGACTCTGTGATCTTCCCCAGGGTTAGCAAAGAGTGTCCCTTTAAGTACCTTTTGCTGACCAAAAGAGTTCTGTAAGAAGAAAATCATGGGATATAAAATGTCCTTAAAGGTTGTGATAACTATTTTGGGAGCTTTATATTTTACTCCGACAGGATAAACTGTGAACAGCTCATGAAAAGAAAAGGAAGGAGAGTAAAAAGGTCTTATTTCAAAAGGAAAAACAGTGCTATATCATAGCAGAGATCATTCTAGCAGATGCCCAGATTTCTTCTCATCCTCAAGTACTTTTTGTTGTTAATTTATTTCTTTCCCTAACTAAATGAAGTTCCCAGTTTTAACTGTGAAGCTTTCCAGACTTTGCTTAATATAAAGAGGACAGTTCTTGTATTCTATCTTTGTTTTAGTGTTCAAGTAACGTCACTGACACTGGTTGTGACTACAGGCATTTTCTAGGGTGATAGGATGATCAACACCTGGATTTCTTCCCCTTACCAGACACGGATGTGTCGAAAAACTACACAACTTCTCATACCACGTGGCAAATCGGGCTAAAAACCGCTTGAAAATCATATTCAGGGAGCTGGGTCCTACATTATGCGATCTGAGAGAGGGACTGGGGGCAGAGATGCAGTGGAACGCCCACTCCTGACCTGGGGGGCTCTGCAGGCAGCACAGCCCCTGGGCAGGATCCCGTGGGAATTGGCTCCTCCTGAGCAACTGGGAATAAACCAAACAGGCAGGGAAAAGCTCTGAGGAAATTAGGAGGGAAGTAACACAGACTGAGAGAATTGTTTGGAAATATCTCGAGTGCAGGCACTATGCAAATGCTGTTAATGGTCACAAGAAATCAGGGGCTTGATTAACATATTCTCCTGTAGCAAAGTTCTCATTACACCATGAATAGATGTAATTCTGTCCATAGGGACTCTGAATTCCGATATTTTGACATTCAAGGACTTCTGTGCATTTCTCCTCCTTCTCTTTTTAACCCAATGCCAGCAGCAATTTTTGCTTCCTTTTTAGCCCAAAGTGTCTGTCTCCTCTTTGTGGAAAAAGATTAACAGAGAAACGGCAAAAGCCTCAATACTAAGCTGTATGGTCTTTTTTTCAGGAAACCACTAAATTCCTCTCCATCTCTTCTAGGAATGAAGGCCAAAAAATTATCACAGAGCAACAATAATATAAGAGTATTTAAGGACTTAAATAAATCAACTTTAATAAACTTGTATTTTCAGCACAGAGCAGATGGTGTTTGACAGACCTCCCTGAAGCTCTGTAGCATCACATGCCACGCTAGTTATTTTTCAATAATGTGATTTACTAAACAAATTTCTCCTTCTTTGAAATCCTACGGTGAAGAAGGGGGTTTGTGCACAGATTAAAAGGCAGCAGCCATTTTATAAGGAACAGGTGAAGGACGCCTAAAATTCACGGATAAGTAAAAAATTGTGCAGAATGTGAGACTACACCCGTGTTTTTGTGTGCTAATAAAATATTGACATTGAGAGAGCTCGACTGGATCTCCATCCACTCGGTTTGGGAGCCTGTTTTCCAGCACAGGCTGGTTCATCCCGTTTAGCGTCTCAGACAGCACATGGGCATGATTTGGGCAATTGCACAGAGCATTTGGGAACAGGCTCTTTCCTGCTCTGGGGGGAGAGGGGACCGACCAGATGGGCATTGGCAGTCTGTGCTGTGTGGCCTAAGGGTCGTGGAAGGGCTCCCAGTTGTTTTGTGCTTCACAATAGGAGGTACCCCAAGGGCCCTTCTTCACTAAACACTGTTAATTTAAAACTAGACTCAAAAAGTTACAGGATAAATTGGAAGAGAGGCCTGGGAGAGGTTCTGGAGCTGTTGGCTACCCTGGGCCTACCCTCAGTGAGAGTTTCCTCCTATGAGCAGTACAAAACACCCAGTTTAGGAACCGAAATGACAAACTTTGAGGTCAGTCTCAACATTTCTACTTTGTTTTCCCCATGGCCAGGAGCCTTTGCTCCCAGATGGTGCAGTTGATCAAATGCTGAATTTACACAGTGTCACTGTATCCCATAGCTGACTACTCTGGAAGAAGTCCCAAGTTCCTGTTCAAGGACAACTTTCTGACCCCCCTAAACGGGTGCCAGGCATTCATTGCTTGACCTCACCATGTTGGTGGTGAACACAAAATATATCTGCCCTGCACGGGATCAGTGAAGATGAATTGTTAACTAGTTGTTTTGTTTCAGGGCTGTAAAATACAATCCCTGTGTTAAGTATCGTGGTGTTTACTCTTTGATTGTTTACCTTAGGTCAATATTCACAGCAATTTTCCCCAGTTTAGGAAGTTATTCCCTGGTTTTATTACAAAGGAAAATTAAAAAAAAAAAAAAAAAAAAAAAAAAAAAAAAAAAAAAAAAAAAAAAAAAAAAAAAAAAAAAAAAAAAAAAAAAAAAAAAAAAAAAAAAAAAAAAGAAAAAGCCAAACAAAGGTTATCTTTGACTAGAAAAAAATGTCTTAACTTATTTTGTGTGGTTATGGATCTCTCTGAGACAGTCCATTAAAGCTTTAACAATGAGAAGGAAGAGGAGAATTTAAACAATATTAAAGAAATTGAATTATTCGACTGGGAAAAATAAAGCATCCCAGAACAGTGATGTCACCAAGGAAACTTGGTTCAGCAAGTGCCCAGTGCACAGCTGGAGGAATTGTCTCTGAGTTTTCTTAGAATACATCTTTGTAGTCCAGCTAGAGCTGGCTGAGACTGGCTCATCTGGCAGTCCCTGCTGCCCCATTCCAACAGCCAGGAGAGGCTTCCTGTACCAAACTTATCAGCCTCAGCTTTAGTGGGAAAAATCAGCCTGAAAAGCAGGCCTTGATTGTGTGCACGTGTGCCAGCTGCTGCCTTGAACAAAGTACCAGGGACTGAATTCAGGGCGTTTAAAACCAAAAGCCTGTGCTGACACTGCTTAGGGTGCAGAGACGAAGTTCTTCAGCTGGGGACCAGAAGAACTCAGTCAAAGGAGGAAGGCAAGAAAAGTGAGATAAAAATATCACCGGGTGACACAGATGCCTCCTCTTGTGTGATAGCAAATGCTTTCTCTCTCTGCTTTCTGGTGTCAATTTGTGTGATTAACTGCAGAATTTGTAATGGATTCTTTTTAGAGAGCTAAGAGGTAAATTTATGTTTTGTATCAAATTCTGGTGGCACTTGATATTGTTGTGTTTGAATTTCTAAATGAGAAAAAGGGGATGGGGCTTTTGCAGATTTCTAAATGATCATAAAAGCTTTGGCCTCGTGTCATAATTAGAATTACAGGCAATAAGAGCAAGCAGGCGTTCTCTGGAATGAATGCTTAAAGGAAAGGCTGGAACTGAGGCCACTTGCCAACGTAGAGCTGATAACTGTGCAGTCCATGTGAGGGATCACTGCTGAAAGGGTTTGTTTAATCCCCATCCCACCCCAAAAGGGACTTCTCAATAGTTCCCAGAAAAGTCTGCTATTAGGCTCAGCTGGAGACGGAAAAATGGCTCTTAATCATATGCAAGGAACAATTCTAAATAGGAGTATTTGAAAACAGCCTTGGGAAGGAAAGAGTACTGCCAGGGAGAATGGAGGATCATTTTGATTCTTGATGAAAAGCTTTCAAACAGAGTTCAATGTGTAAGAGATGTGACAAATCTTTAGAGAAGCAGTTTTCTCCTAAGAGAAAGGTAATACAGCTAACAAAGTCACTTAATGCTTTTTGTGTCATTGAACCTAAAAAAAAAGTATTTTTTCCCCATTGGTTACGGGCCACAAAAAGCGCTTTTTTCCCCCCCTTTTTAATCTTCGTGAGGAGTTTTGCTTTGAGACTTCCTGCAGGAAAGTGTTTTAAGTGGAATTTTTCTTTATGCTACACCTAATGTCTGCCAATATGATTCCTGCTACAGGCGTAGGGACCATTTTCCTTCTGTCCTCAAGCTGTGTTGCTGCTTATTATCATGTTTAACATTCCCGGTGCCTGGCAGGATGGAGATTAGAAACTCTTAATATTCATTTTATAGTGAAAGGTCTTGCCAGATTTTTGGAGTATTAACTGTAATATATGCACATAATTTAGTGGTAGAAAAGTTCTGAACTCTCCGGTGAGTCACCTTAATCTTTGTTCTTATCACTTTAGGATTGTTTTAAATAATCTTCCACGCCTCCCTCACATAAACATGTTAAAAACAAAAATAACAACTTGATGGAAGCGAACAGAAAAAAGATGCACAGGTTTCCTTTGATGAGTCTTTACTGTTCTTTTTGAAAGTGTGTGTTATCCGGAGTATTTTCTTCTAACTCCGTAATTTTGGTTTTGTTAACAGACTGGGAGGAAGGAGAAGGGGGATCCCCTCAACATTGCCATAGACAAGATGACCAAGAAAACACGAGACCTTCGAAGGCAGGTAAGCTGTGACTTTTGTAATGCTTCTTGATTTTCCAAGGAAATCATAAACTCTTCCACTTAGGACTGGTTTTGCCTCATGTATAAAGTATCAGTGTCCTTATTTAGACATGGCACTACATTTACACGTGACATTAGGCAAAGTGAGGAGCATTTC